CCATTGAATAAGTGTTTGAGGAAATGTTTAGGCTAAAATCTGGGCTTATTCTACGTGGATTGACAGTGCCACTGTGCGTTTGTATACATTGGGCTTATTGGGAGTTGGGACCAGCGTTATTATCATAAACTAAAACCGAAACGAAAACGGACACCAAATAAAAGAAAATAATTTGTGTAAATCTATTTAGTTGTTACATTTTTTACTTTAGATTTCAGTAATTTTATTTCTAGGGACAGACAGAAAGTTGTAGGACTTTGCTGGATATTACAAAATGTCACAATGTAGTTCCATTGGGTATTTCTGTGGTTCACTGCATGAGAGGCCCAAAGATAAACAAATCATCACTTTAGCTAAACAGTATTTAAAAATGGTAATGCAAAGTATTTGACATTTGTTATTTTATTGCAGTTGGTTTTGTAGCAATATACATAGTTGATAGGTTGTAATTATTTTATTTTAGTATCTTATTATCTTTAGTATCTTTTTATCTTTAGTATCTCTGGGATTAATAAAGTCTTCTGATTCAGATTCTGATTATTTTTTCATGGAAATGTGTTTGTTAATGATAACAACCCTGCCTTATACACCATTAGCACAAAGTGCACCTAGTGTTTTGGCAAAATTCTTACTTATTTTTATAACATCCATACCACACTTCATAAATGTGACCATTAAAGAGCAGCTCTGTCCTACAGCCTCACCACAGACCTGACGGCAACGTACTAGAAGTATGAACATGGAAGGTCTGGCACTGTGTTATGCGGCACATCTACGTGGAATGATAACCACACTTGAGCCATGCCTATCACACAGAGACCAGACGGGAGGGCAAACTCAGCGTGACTAGCTGCAATGTCGGTGGCAATCATTCTTATCAAACAAACACATAAACACAATTTGCCAATATGAGGACAGAAAAAATGATCAAGGTCATGTCCATATACTGATACAGTAGGTCAATAACATGATTGTGACGGGCCAACTCTGTAGCCCAGTCGAGTTTTATCCGGTGTAACTTACTCATATAAAATATTATAAATGTATACAATACTGTGCAAACATCATAGGCAGTCAAAGAAAATTATATTTAAATTATTTTCATGTTGGTATAAAAGTATTATATTATGTCTAACAAGGAACGTCAGCTTAGCCATTTCAAAACCTCTGCTAAAGTCACCCCAACAAATGTCCAACACACCCACAAATTCTTGACTCAACTGCTACTCCATCTTTTTTGGTTAATCGATACCTCATTTATTTAACTACTTAGGTTAATTAATTAATTGAGCTGGTGGTCAAATTAAACAAATGCATGGAATGACTAGGGTGCCCCAAAGGAGAGGTTTGGGAACTGAAGTGGTGTTCATCTAGCTAACAAGATAACAGTAACTTTTTGGAGTGCAGAAGAAATTCTTGATAGCTTTTTGTTTCTGTTAATGTGCATATGTTCTAATCTTGTTTCTTTTTCCATACAAATAAGCACTTACTATTCCAATAAGCTGCCTTAAACGGTTTCTTTCCTGCCTAAGACTTTTGCACAATACTGAATATTCACTGGACCAATGCATGATCCCAGGATTTGGGTACAAAAGCAGAAACCCTGTGGAATCTGACCAGACAACCTTTCCCAGTATGCAGGCCCTGAGCTATTGCCTCTTTTGTAGCAGAAGTCAGCAGGTATTGACACCCTTGTCCGTACACGATACACCCAAAACAGTAACTCCTACGAGGATCCTCAGGGCGGATACGGGCACCAGCACAACTGGCAAACAGAAATATTCACCTCAGGTCAGAGTCCTAGACACACTAGCAGACGTGCCCCACCCCTCTGACATCCTGGGACACAAATAGGCCGCCCAGTGCCTAAACGGAGGCAGGGACGGGCAGGTGGGGAGGCGGGCAGGACGGGCAGGTGGGCAGGACAGGCAGGACGGGCAGGCGGGGAGGATGGGCAGGATGGGCAAGATGGGCAGGTGGGCAGGAGGCTCGGGTTACCTGGTAGTCGTGCGGGATGATGGGCGACACCTGCCTGCAGGTGAGGGTGACGTTCTGGCCCGGCAGGTGGTAGACGGTCCAGGCTCGCGGGTACAGCGCGTGGTAGAAGGCATACTGGCCGCAGAAGCCCCAGTTCCAGCCCTGGAGGGTGGGGGGCCTCTCCACTGACAGTACTTGCTGGTACACGGTCCGCCCCCCCCGCCGCAGACACACAGTGAACTGAGGGGTGAGCAGGAGCAAAAGAGAAAAGCATGAAAAATAAGACAATATGTCACATACACCAACAGCAACACTGCGAGCTTAGAGAAGATCATTGCTGGGTCCTTCCTGCCGACACACGGCATCAGCACCTAGAGTCACTTTACGGGGAAATTTAGGGCCAGCTGACACTACAGCGCAATTTTATTGCACATCGAATTTTTTAAATGTAATTTGTATTTGAAATGCAGTTTAGTTTTCAGTGTGGTTTTATTCTTTTTTCATTTTAAAGATATATTTCTGTTTATTTTTTTATATTTTAGTTTCAATTTAAGTTTCAGTAATTTTATTTCTAGGAATAGAGTGAAACTTTTAGAGCTATTTTATGTGTGTGATCTTTAGAGAATCCTACATGAATACAGAGGGCACCTTACTAATGCCTTCAAAATAGGCAAAACATGCTCCAGATATTATTAATGCTAAAGATAAGTAATTAATTTAGCTAAAGGTTATTTAAAAAACGATGACGTATTCGACGTTTGTTTATATTTTATTTCAGTTAGCAACACTTAGTTTTTGTTCAGTTGTAGTTTATTTTATTTTGGCATCTTGTTTTGTTTGCAGAAATGTTTCGTGGTGTTTTAGTTTTCGTTAATGACAATAATCCCCAACTAAAGCACAGTCCCATCCACACCCCCCCTAATCTGCAGACTGTGACCACACAGTGCCAGTAGGCTCCACCACAGTCCAGCAGTTCTCTTCTCTCATCTAACACGCTTCACCTGTCACCATATCCTGTTACCTGTCCCCAACACCTACCCTCACCGTAAGTATAACTGAACAGAGCTTACTCAAATAATTGAACCCCTGGAAAGCAGCCCTCGGCCTCTTGTTCTCACCAGCAGATGCCTACCTGATTGGCGATGACTGTCTTGTAATGGTACATCCCAGGGTTGAGTTGCCACCTGCAGAACTCCCCCCTCCAGCCACGGGTGATGGTACCTCCCCCAATGCCACCCAATGGAGCACCTGTGAGAGACAGCGTCAGTGCGCCGGAGATGCCTCGGGGGCGGCACCACGTAACCAGAAAGCCTGCGGTGTTACCCTACCAAGCACCTGTTTACACATGGGAAGACTGACACGAAGATAAACATTCACATCTGTAAAATGTAAGGAGTCCACGCCTGCGAGTCGGACCTACCATAGATCTGCCGCAAGGGCTGGGCGCGGAACATGTCAATGAAGGGGGCTTTCTTCTCCACCTGGGTCTTCCGGTACCACCACTTTAGGTACCTGCAAGCACACGGCAGCGGGGGTCAGGGGGGCGTGTTCACAGTACACCCAGGTTAACTGAACAGGCACGGCTTTTTAAAAAAAAACAAGCCTCTCTGCAGTTGCCTGTCTCTCCCGTTAACAGAGTTAGCGACTCACTGCGGCCGTCATTATGCTGAACACAGTGCACAGTGTCAACCCCTCCCCCCCCACTGTCCTTCACAAAGCACACACTTCACTGAATGCTGCCCCAGCTGTTTCAAAGGCCTTCAGCCACCCAAACAATCCCAGTGCAGATCAGAAGCCAGCTGGCAGAGAGCAGCCAAACAGTCACACAGACAGAAACAGGGGATTAAGCGATAAAGGCAGGAATCCTCCTGTTTGTCTGCCCCACCGACGGGTCCGATTATGGAGCAAAGGGAGAGAAACCATCATAGAGGATAGGAGATGAGGGACGTCCCACAATCCCAGCGCACAACCGCCCTGTTCACTGGCAACCCAGGGCTGCCACAGAAGGACAGTTCTGTGACTTCCAGGCACACGAGGTGGATTTTAGAGGAGCGATTTGCACAGCCCACTCAACCACAGGGGAGCAAGTATCTTAACCAGCAACCCCCAACCCTCACACAGCCAACGGTGGACGCCAGACGTGACCGTGACGGCGACTCGGGGAGCCTGCCTTCACTGGAGCGGCAACAAGCCATGGCGTGACAGCAGCACTGAACGGTGCGACCGGCATCCCTGATGACCACAACCCGGTCATTTCCTCAGGCACTTTAACTAGCAGTTAACATCCATGCGGGAGGGTCAAACACGACCCAGAAGGCCGAGGTCCCTGTCAGGCCAGCACTCCAATGCAGACCGATAAAAATTGAGCATCCCAATACAACTCCCATTTCCATACACACAAGCCTGGGTGTGAAATGACTGCAGACCCACTGACATTGTGGCCAGCTGCAGGCAGAAGCTGTCCACTGTCCTTCTCCATGTCCACCATCCACACACACGCTGCCCAGAGAGAAGACACAGGGGACAGTTCAGGGCCAGACAATAAAAATCCAGACCAAGACTCGGTTTTAACCAACAAGTTGAATATAAAGAGTCACAGAGTACTCAACTGGTTAAGTGAAACAAAATCTTGGTCTCGATTTTTAACTATCTACCTATGCAGGAAGGGAACTTTGAATATTAGATGCTATAAAACTATTATATTAATAATCTTATCAGTAAATGGTGATTAAAACCTAAACTCCTGCTAGAAAGTCCCACAAAACGAGATGTGATGAGCTGGAATGACTTTTCTTGGGTTTCAGGGGACTGGATAGACTGGGTTCCTCAACCGGTTAGGCGTTAACCTACCTGTGGCCCCTACCCACAAATCTGACCCTGGGCTGCCAGGACAATGAGAATGGGTGGATGAGCACTGCCATATGACGGCTTCTGCCCGACCCGTTTCAAGCACAAAGTACAAAGGTGAGAGGCGTGCAAAGCAAATAAGCCACACACCTCTAATGCCAACAAATCCTTTGTGTCACAAGCATGCAATCCTTCTGTGTTTAAAAACCAGAAACAAAACTCGCCATACTTCTTTATCAAGTCAAAACTGGTTTACACTGCGAGGCATGAAAATATGAATCGAGAGAAATAGAGATTAAATGAAACACAAATTATGTGTTTTAAGGGTACGAGAATAGTAGTAATTATAATACCAGTGATGAGGTCGAAAGGTGTGTTGTGGATCTGCACATTATATACCATTAACCCAGTATAAGGCACGGTCCACAGGGATCATAGGGGAGCGGACGCACACCGAAGCCGGTGTTATGCCGAAAAAAGGCATCCCTGCCGTAGAATGAATGCCGGTTTTCTGACGAGTTGAGCTTTTAGGGGGGGAGGGTTTTAGGGTTTTTTTTGGGGGGGGGGGTTAGGTTTAGGGTTTTAATGGTGTTGTGGAGGTTAGGGTTTTAGGGGGTTTTTTGGGGTTAGGGTTTTAGGGGTTTTCTGGGGATTAGGGTTAGGAGTAGGGTTTTCGATTAGCACTAGTCTACGGTAGCCTAACTCGACAAAGTAGCTCAACTCGTTTCAGATCAGCGATCAATCGGTCATTTAGAGACAGGCATGCATTCTACGGCAGGGATGCCTTTTTCGGCATAACACCTGTTTGGATCCCTGGCCGTAGATAACGCACCTGATACCCAGTCCGATGTGCTCCATGACGTTGGACAGCGACACATCCTTGGCCTGGAAGGGCTTTCGCTTCTCCTGGAACTCGTGAGCCAGGCAGATCCGCCAGCCTTCTTCCGGGACCCCGTAGCCGCGCTCCGCGGACACGTAGCGGCTCATAAGCCCGGCGGCTGGGTCACCGCTCGGCGGCTCCATGGCGCTTCGGATGCTCAGCCGACTGCCAAGGCCGGATCACGACGAGCCTGATGACGGGGGATGCCGGGTCCGTGATCAGGAGAGCACCTTGTGTGCGCCGGGAACGTACATACAGGGGATTTTCTACTTCCTCAAAAGTTCAGCGGTAGGACTTAAAAGCCGAAGGATCGCCGCATAGGAGCGGTGACGTTTCTCTCCCATAGGCGTCCCATTTGTTCACGCTGTCAATAATTAAAACGTCCCTTAAGCGCTCGCTTCCCAGCTCCGCGGCGCAGTGGTGCAGCAGGAGAGACTCGCAGATCAGGAAACCAAAGCTATTTAAAGCACGCTTGATGTATTTTTCCCACCCATCTCGTCTGACCACATCATAAATGCACAGGTCTCGGATAAATCAGACCGTAGCTGCACGCTGCTGCACTTTTAACCCCAACCTCGATTACAGGTTGCATTCGTGCATCCGCTTAACTATCAGGGATCCAGATGTGTCCGATAACCGGATGTACACTATAAAGAAACCAGGTTAACATGCTTAATTTCAATTCCCCTACCGCGGAAGACCAACGCACTTATACAGGTCAGGTTAAATTTAATGCAATGGACCATTAGCTATAGTTAATGTAAATTCCGTTTTTTTATTATTTATTTATTATAGTGAGCTTCACGCGAAATGCTCAGCTCTTCGCTTAAGCTACCCGAACGACTGTGTTTCTGAAACCATAAAAAATTATCTGTGAATAGTCAGGCGGGTCTTCTTGGGAATAACCCGGGTCCCCTCGCGGATGTCGACCGGCAAAACAATATTTATTTACCGCCTATAAGAGCAAAACTACCGCGCACCGCATCCCCAGATGGAGTGCGGGGAGCTAAGCGGCTATACGCTGGCAGAAACACAGGACACCGAGACCAGTGGTCGGCCTCGGAGAACCTCACGGAAATATGCCATAAAGTGCGCTTTGTTTTTCTTTTGGAAATGAATCTTGATGAGGTTGGCTTATTTCAGTGCTCTGTTACATGCCGTCCTTAGGGAAATCGTGTTGGATGTCGGGGAAGTCTCTCTCTCCACTGTTCAACTAATCCTCATTATTCGAGTGCAGACCAAAATAGGAAATCAGAGGTGGGGTCATTTTCAACATCCTTTCATTTTGTACATTGTTCACATTCATTGAGTCTTTTGGGGAAAAAAACAATATAGTTACAACTTAACCTCAAAAAACTTCCTTCGCACACCAAAAGAAGTAGGAAATTATTTTGGTGTTTTAATACTTTCTTTTTAAATACCCCTACCATAGGTACTTCCTAACATCCGTGTATATCATCGATGCCACGGGGCAGTACTGAGAGGCCAACAGAACTCTATACCGGCGTTGACACGAAAAGCAATGCCAGTTGCAGGATAAAGTCCCAGTAAACACATTATCCCCGGTTTGAAAATATATTACTCCAGACCGGGTGCTACATTAATAGAACACAGATATGCGTTTAATGTGGCATGACATAAATTGTTCTGATTTTTTTTTTTTTTGAATGACAGAATATGCTTAGCACGGTTTATTGCTGAACAGTATTACGAAATTGTTTGATATCAGGCTTATTTATATATAGGAAAAGAACAAAACTACGGTTTAAAGAAAATCAAACGCAAGTTTGTGTGAACTTTTGATGATTCATCTGTGCTTTGTTGCGGGGTTGATGCGTTGTGACGAATTTTGACGATCACGCAGGGTAAGTTAAGTATCGAGCAGTTCTTTGGATGGAGTTTTGTTTATATGTCGCCTCTCTTGGTCGAATACTTTGATCACGGAAAGAAGTTATAGGTTTACATACCTTATTGATAGTCGAATTGAACCTAACTGGAACAAAACTGACTGGGGAGTACTATTTACCAAGGTAGGACTGTATTAGTATATCTGCCATTGGCAGGAATGTAACATGACATATAACATGTAACGGAGCAACAACACGGTGTATATATCAGGTGTTTTCCTAGGCGAACCAGTTTAAACCCTCCGAATAGTATATATTTTAATGAAGTAATTAATCTGCTCCAGTACGGAGCGTAGAAACCAGATATGACGAGCTACTATCTTCTGATTTGACACGTATGTCTTCGCATATTGTGAAATCCTGCGGCGACGGTATTGATACCACGTGTGTCCGCACAGATGATCGAAGTGGTGGCCTCCATGTCCCGAGGCCCGGTCTTCCTGGCCGGGGAGCTCTTGGAGTGCCTTATCACCTTCACCAATCCTATGTCCCATCTGTCCACCTCAGCTAGCAGGTAAGCTCCTCCCTCGTCCTCCAGTCCGCACTGTCAATAATGTTTCACGGACGTTTCGTTCCAAGATAGAGCACAATAATAGTGCTTCCCCACCGTTATCAATAAGCCGGTGGTCATAAGGGGGCGCATATGCAGTTTTAAAGGTCGCGTTTCAAATCTTTAATTGCATCCTTCATCGAATTGCTTTTAAAAGTGTAAAATGGGCGTGATTAACAGGCGAAGTGAATGCATATACATATATATGCATTGTATGAACAAATACATTACCATCCATAGTGTGGTACTTTTTTCCTCTGTTTTACTCCTTCTTCCAGTCCTGCCTCAGGTCTGGGAAATGTAAGTGCTTAACACATGTACATTAATCTGCCTGTCTCTGCCCAAACCAGTGAGATGCTGGCCTGGGCCAGTGCTCAGATCCATTGCCAGTTTCATGCCAGTGAGAGCAGGGTGGCGCTGCCAGCCCAAGGCAACAAGGACGTTCAGGCCGAAAGCGACACTGTGCTGATCCCTAGCAGGGGTGAGTGATGGAGGGGGGCAGTGGGCACCAACACTGTGCTGCCTCACGGTCACAGAGATGCACGCATGTTGATACCAGGGGTGTTGTAGGGTAAGAGGAAATCCAAGGTATAGTCCAGAACTATTTGGTCAGAAAAAAAAACCTTTGGCCCGTCAGTTCCATTCAGAATACATTATTTCTGTATCCATAAACTACATACATATAACGACCAAAACGTAATTAAAAGAGATTCAGGGCTTTGCTTAAAACATTCACGGCTTATGCTTCACTAAGCCGACCCTAGTGTCACCTTCATACGGGACGTAGAATTCCTGTACTCTACAAGATTGCTACCCAGTCTGGTCCTCGGGGACCAAAGTCGGTCCACATTTTTGCACCCTCCCAGCAGCCAAAGCATGGACTGTCTGTGCCTCCCCAAGGACCGGATTGGGAAACCCTGCTCCACAGATATGTAACCAGCATGTGCTGCAGCATAAATGTGCTCGTGATGAAGATCAAAACTCTGAGCACTTCCACTCGTGACATTTTAAAGAGGAATTTGCTGGAAGACGTATTTGGATGTTGTAATGGGATTACTGGTACGTGAGTGGTCTGCTTCTTTAAGGGTGCACTCTAACGCAGACCTCCCCCATTGTCCCAAACTCTCTTTAACCCAGGCGAGCGTGGGCAGTGCATGTTAGACACCCCCCCAAAGATCCTATTCTGTGACCTGCGGCTCGACCCGGGAGAGAGCAAAACCTGTAAGTCTGAGGCGGCGTTATTAATTATCGCTGCCTTATTGGTTTAATCCCAAGCACAATGGCCGGCTGTAAGGCAGGAATGTAATATTCTCATGCTGCTCAGTCTTCTTTGTTTTCACCCTGACCTGAAGTGAGGTCTATCCATTGTGGACCCCTGCCTGCCCCTCCCCCCCCCCCAGACTCGTACAGTGAGGTGGTGCCGACTGACGGCCCCCCCAGCTTCCGCGGCCAGGCGGTGAAGTACGTCTACAAGCTGACCATCGGCTGCCAGCGTGTCAACTCCCCCATCAAGCTGCTCCGGGTGCCCTTCAGGGTGCTCGTCCTGCAGGGTGCGTCGGCGTGCCCTGCTGGGCCCGGGACTCAGGCCTCCAGAACTTTAAGGGACTGAAATGTGCATAGAAATTACAAAGGATACTAGACTGTGCTCTGCTCCTCTGTACAATAGGAGTCCTTCATAAGCATCAAGAATCTGTATGCTTTGGATGAGCAAAGAACAGATGTAGTAGCGGTGTGCTAAGCTATGCTTTAGGTGAGGATGAGGCGTAGGAACATCTGAGGGCTTTAGTAAGGGGCAGAAATGATGGTGAAATAGCTCAGGGTTCTGTTTCTCTATGTAATGTAGGTTTAGAATAATGTGTTTATGCATATCATTGAACAGATATCTGATACAGAAATTTTCTTTATTTTTGAGAAGAGCTAAATGAACATAGAAATTGAAATGAAGATTGAATGTTAGAATGTAAAAGCTCCCCATTTCCACTCTATTATTTAATAATAGGTTGGGTAATACTCTGACAAATGTTTTTGTCAGCAGGCATGCCTGAGCCTCCCTCCCCCCAGGACGAGGAGGTGGCCCCCTCAAACCCCTTCCTGGATGACGAAGAGACGGGTAGAAGAGACACCAGGCCTCTGGAGAAGGCCCTGGACATGCTGATGGTCACTACCTCACGCCGCTGTCCACGTGAGTCTCACGTGTGTGTGTCTGTGTGTCCGTGTGTGTAAGTATGAGTCATTCTTGCGTGACCAGCATAGTGCCTTTGAAGACGCATTATGCAATAATAGAGCACTGACAATGTCATGACGTATGGATCAGTCTCCATTGTATGTCTGTGTTGGTGTAAACATGACTTTGCCTTATTTATGTGTGTGTTTAGTATGGGGTTGACCTTTGCCTTCTTCCTAACACAGACCTTTTCAATATCACTAACATGAGGGGCAAGGTGGCAAAGTTCTGCATCTTCAAGACTGTGTACAGGTTAGGGGAGGACATCATCGGGACGTTTAACTTCTCCGAGGGAGATATTCCCTGTCTGCAGGTAACAGCCACCACTTTGCCTCTTTTAGCTTGGCTTTCATGTTTAATTTTCAACATTAATGTTCGTAGACTTTTTATCATGAATTATATTTTGACTTCCTGTAAGTTTATAGTGTCAAAACCTGCTTGCGTATTACATGTGTGTGTCATGTATATAGTACATATATATATATTAGGGGTGGAGCCGAACCCGAATACGGTATTCGGAAAGGCACAAATAATGTGTTTTTTACGAATACTTATTTCGAACAAATACTTAAAAAAAATATTTGTATTCGGGAACAAGAAAAACTTTATATGAAAAAGCTGCGTTTCCTCTTGAGACCGCAGTGCATGCCCGGATGAGTGAGTGAGTTCAGGAGTCGGGGGGGGGTTGTAAAAGAGGTGACTGACACAGGCTGCTCGATCCACACAGTAACAGAGAAGGCTCGGCTGAGCGAAAAAAGACTTAACTGTATCACTATTTTTGTTGAATAGATTTTTGTACCTTAACTGGGTTCCGGAGGCAGTTTATAACTTTCGGGAAGCGGAGTTTGATCGGGAGATTATTCCATTACGCTGCATTATTGACGTCTGCAATCAGGTGCTCTCATGTTCGCTCTGTTTACGTAGCTCTGTTAGCTCGCTAATTTAGACAATAGGCTGTTGACAGAGTAACGTTAACGTTTGGTTAAAAAGGTTAAAACAATGCTTGTGTAGTTGTGTCGAATTGTATGCACTTGTAGGAGTTATATGGTACGTTTAAGTTACTCTGTCTACTGCATATCCATAATTATTATAATGGATATAATTAAAGAATACTTACACTATAGCGTAAATTAGAAGTGCAACGCGAAAAAACTGGATTTTTACGCCTATTTTGAATTTTACTCGAATACGAATACGAATACAAATACAAATACTTTTCCCCCCTCAACAAATACAAATACAGATACAAATACCGGCTGCTTTGCACACCCCTAATATATATATATATATATATACATAACATTGGCTACAGTGGCTCTTTCACACTGAAGTTCCAGAACTTCTGTAGCTCCCGGGCACTTTCGTGTGCCGCGTTCCCACTGCACGACAGGAACTGGGACCTTTATGTTAAATAAGCATGGGAGATGCAGAAAGCTCATATGATGAACTTCACATGTAATTACATAAGAAACTACACTGCCAAGCCAAAACAACGGAAGATAAATAAGTTGTTTTCTTAGTTATTTGGGTGGGGAGGTCGATCAGGATCAAAACAGGACACAGTTTTTATTTGTATTTCACTTATACGACCCATAACATTTATAATTCTTAATAATCTGGCCAGCAGATCAATCTATTGTTTTCCACCGAATAAAAAATGATGTGATGTCATCCCACTAATAAGCGCTGGCGAGTTTGACTGCTGGCACCAGCGATATTAGACAAAAATATTGGGGGGGCAGCACATGGCTCAGTGGGCTAAGCCTGTGTGCCTTTGATAGGAGGGTCGCCAGTCCGAACCCAGCTTCAGCACGTCTGCGGCTCCTTGAGCAAGGCCCTTGACCCCCTGCTCCCTGGGCGCCACTGCAGGTGGCAGTTGGGGGAGGCGTATAGAGAATTTCAATAATGTATCAATTATTATTATTGTTGTTGTTATTATTGTTATTATTATTATTATATTGGTTATCGAATTTTCCAATGCAGAAATATGAAGATTCAAGCAAAACATGTATTAATTGATGCATAAAATGTAATTGAGGTAAAAAATAATTCTGTCTGCTCAGTGTTTGCTCTGCTACTTCTGTCTATTTTCACTGCACTTCTGTGTAAGTTCCAAGTTAGCGCCGGAGCTTGTGGTCAACCAGTCAGCGAGCTTATCGCTGTAAGCGCCTCCCTAGTGGTTCGTGTTTGAATGAAAAGTACCAAGGCTGTGTCCGAATTCAGGGGCTGCATCCTTCAAAGGCTGCATTTGAAGACCGAATGTGTCACATTGGTGAGGTACGGCTGCCCCATTTCGAAGGCTCCTTCAAATGCGGTCTGGAAATGCATCCCTCTTTTGCCGAGTTGTGAAGGATGCACCCGATGGATCCTTCGCAGCCCAACATATCCCAAGATTCACTGTGCGGAGGCAAAGTGGGTGTGTCCCAGCTAGGCGACAGGAGCCGAACTTTGTGACTCAAGGTTAACAGCGAACAGCTGGTGACGCAAATCGGAAATTTTCAGTAGGCCAGACTGTCACATTCGACAATGCTTTCTGTTTGATCTTTGAAGAATGCAGCCTACAAAGGCTACATAGACCGTGTCCTTTGAAGGATTCAGCCCATGAATTCAGACATAGGCCAAGTCTGGGGTAGGTACTAACAAAGGAAATACAGTCAGGCCAAGTTTCTGCAGTGTAAACACGACACGGGGCCTGCTGATTGGTTGGTGTCAGAGTAGGAGTAGCCAAGCAGGTGAATCTGCATTTGGGAGCACTGATATCAACATGGGGGGTGATTAGGAACTGCAGTAGACTAGCATCCCATCTGGGGAGTCCCTTGCCTCGCTTTCTGTGCCTCCTCGGGTCAGCGGTTTAATGCTGAAGGGCGCGTCTTCTTACACGGCAGTACACAGTCAGCCTACAGAGCGAGGAGGACGTCCAACCCCAGTACCAGCGCCGGCCCAACCAGTCGGCCAGCGTCACCAGCCACGGGCGCCACCTCGAGTCATGTTTGCACACGGCCTCCAGCCACTTTTCCCTGCCCATCCCTCTCAACGTCACTCCAGGCTTCAGCACAGACATCGGTCAGTGTGCAGCAAAGTCGCCGCTTCATCCCTGAGCTGTTTTTATTGGTTAGCGGGACTGAACTTTCCCCCTGTCCCTCCCTCCCTCTCGCTCGTCCTCTCCCAGTGAGCCTGAGGTGGCGGCTGCATTTTGAGTTCGTGACGGCCCGGGAGCCAATGGAGCCGCCCACTGTGCTGCAGAACCAATCAGAGGTCACAGTGTGGACGGGGGCGGGCCTGGTGGACGTGGACACCTTCAGCTGGGATTTGCCCATCAAAGTTCTGCCCACCAATCCTACTCTGGTATCTTATGTCTCCCAGTTCTCTGGGACCAATAGCATTAATATTTAAATGGACTGAAAGAAGTTTATTTTGACTATTGTATGTTTTGCAGTGCAGTTCATTTCTCCATCTCTAAGATGTATCTTAGAACATATCTTATGTCCAGTTGGATTAACACCGTTTGGAGACGACCTGAGGCTACAAACTGGTGTAACTGAACTAGGTCAGGTTACTTCTACTCAGTGCAACAGTGACTAAGTATTATGCACGTAACTATGGAAACTCAGTTTCTGCTGAATTATTGTCTGTCTAAATGTTTATGTAAACTGTCATTTATTAAAAAGTATTATATTTAAACTTAATGTTCCTGTTTTTCACCCAATACTAAGGGTTTTTTTCTACCTGCTGTATGATCCTTCTGTTAAAAATGCCACAAGCCATGTGTTATTTCTCTGAGTAATGATTTAATTAAGCAGTTCAGAGTACAGATGCAGTAATACAGATGCATGTATACCAGTGCAGGCAGGGCTGTGTGCAGAAGCGGAAGCTGAACGGCGTTCAGAAGTGCAGACCCTTTTAAGGTGGAACGCTACTCTAACATGGACTTAAGTGTGTCTGCACAGCTGTGTGTGCTGGTGTGCTCTGGTTCTGCTCAAATCCCTTCAAGGGGCAGCGCTAGCACCCCCGGTGGACCTAGAGCCGCCCAACCCTAATGTCAAAGGTTCCACCATCTTCAGAACTCTTCATTTCAGTGTGTTTCTCTGATGCACTACAGATGTATTTGAGGACAAGCTTGATTACATAGATGGATATGGAGAAGAGCTGGGGTTTGGGGAGGGGGTCCCACCTACACCCCCAGGCTGATGGGCAGGGTCCTGTGCTTGGGGTCCAGGTTGTCCTCCCCACTGGAGACGCATGGAAGGCGGGGGTCTGCGGTCTGCACCAGCGTGGCCCTGCAGGTCTCTGGTTCCACACGGACCTCACACCAAGCGGGGAAGTCCACTGGGTGCTGGACGCTGATGGGAGAAAGGGTGAGGCTGATATGGGGGGGGATGTCCAGCTGTCTGATGGAGGCCCTGCTGAAGTAACTCTGACTGTAAACTGGAATGTTTTTTGTTTTACCCAAATATCCCATTTTGCTCTCTTTTTGAGACATACACAAACATATATATATGTGTACACACACACACACACACACACACAGTATATATACACTGATGTGAGTGAAGCTGGCGGTCAGAGCACAGGGTCAGGCCATTTACCCGGCACCCCTGGAGTCTTTCGGAGGACTAAGGACCTGCTCAAGAGGCCAACAGAGATGTGATTACCAGGCCAAGACTGGGGCTCTAACCAGCAACCTTCCGATCACAGGCACCGAGACCTAGCCCAATGAGGCACAAACATTATTCCATCCATCCATCCATCCTCTCTCTTATCCAGGTCCAGGTCACGGGCAGAATTCTGAGCAGGGATGCCCAGACCTCCCTCTCACAAGCCACCTCCTCTAGCTCCTCCGAGGGAGTGCCAAGGGGTTGCCAGGCCAGCAGAAATATGTAACCTCTGCAGCGTGTCCTGGGTCTGCCCCGGGGCCCCCTTCCGGTTGGACATGCCTGAAACACCTCCCTAGGGAGGCGTCCAGGTGGCATTCTAGTCAGATGCCTGAACCACCTCAGCTGGCTCCTTTCGATGTGGAGGAGCAGCGGCTCTCCTTTCTGCTGCTTGTATCCACAATCTCGTTCTTTCAGTCACTAACCCAAACCTCATGACCATAGGTGAGGGTAGGAACATAGCTATTGATTTATCGGTCAATCTTTGCCTTCTGGGCCAGCGTTCTCTGTTTACCACCCCAGAACGGTTCGGCGTCCACATTACTGCTGACGCCTGTCCATCTCCCACCCCCTTCCCTTACTCGTCAAACATTACTCGTTACTATTATGTGTAATGAAATGGAGCTATGGTTTGGTAGCTGGACCAGGAAAACAAGGCGATGTGATGAAGGGGCTCGACACGCCACCACACGCACAAGCGTACATACGTCTCGCAGCAGCCGACGCCCACTGGATGCAGACACGTGCACTGGAGGCATTCGGCGGTGGTCCAGGATTCGCCCAGGGAGTAGAAGGTACCCTGGTACTGACACGATGCTGAGAGGGCACAGTGGGACAGGGGTCACACCACAGCTCATCTATCAGCAGGTACTAAAGCATTTCCATGTCAGATTTTCATTAAATACTAAGGAATAAAGGGAAGGTTTTCCGACAAAGTGACTCAAAAGGTATAGGTGCTCCCCCTATAGGTGAAATCAAACATCGCCTGAATGTATATAAATAAAATCACCCGCAGCATCTTTTAAATATCAAGTGTAAGATAAACAATGAAATATTCAACGTGACTGTTAAGAAGTGTTTCCAAGTAAGCAAATGGCATGTTGTGAATATATGTTGTGCCTCATTGCAGTATGTGTAATCTATAAGAAAACTAACCAAAGCCTCATTGCGGTATGTGTGATCTATAAGAAGACTAAGCAAAGCCTCATCCATGGCCCTTACCTCGGAAGTTGAAGTGACATTGTGTCGGAGCCCCTGGGCAGGTGGTCCAAAGCACAGTCCCCATCAAAAGAGCCAGAGCCAGCTGTCCTGCCATTGCGCTCATGGTCGTCTCTCAGAATCTTCCCTCAGCCCAAAGTAGCTCCATTTTATACCCCCGATACTTTATGAGCCAGGCGCAGCCCTGATGAGGGGCGCTGTGGGCCGAACAGGAGGGCGGGCGGCGCCGGGGTCTCGGGGGGGTGAAGGCGGTGTGGGGAAAAAGGTTGTCTTGGCATAACTCTGGCACTCTGGAGCAAACAGTTCCTCGCTCCAGTGGGCATGACCTCTAAAACGATAGAAACACTGACACATCCTGGTATGACTAACAGACGAAATGTGGAGGAAAGTCATAAAGACCCACGGAAGTCACAGCACACCAAGATATAAGACTATGATCCTGGCAGAATGCCGTCAGTAATCATCACGCTAACAATTCCAGCGCTAATATCCACACCAAGGCTTTCAAAACACTATTTTATTTCAACATTCCAAAAGGGAATACATTACACGACAAGGTACCTACCACCACAGTAAAATACTGCCTTTGCTTATTTAGTAGATACCTTTATCCAAAGTAACATACAGCTGAGAGAGCAGGGTTAGCCAGTCCCTGAAGCAGTTGGGGTTAAGGACCTTTCTCAAGGGCCTAATGGTGAAATCACTCGGCCGACCCTGGGATTTAAACCACTCACCATCGGATCACAGGCACAGTTCTAACCTGCACTGAACCTCACAGAATTTTGCTATAGGATAGAGTCTGCTTGACTTTCCTGTTGGGATACTGTTAACATGAATGATTCTGGTCTCTCAGGACCAAGCTTGTTACCAAGTAGCATCCCAGAAGTCCCAATTCACACTAAGCCAGTTGGACAGTGTGGCCCTCCTCTTGCGATGACCCCTGTCCTCATCCTTCCCTCGGAGAAACTCCCAATGATGTCAGTATGGTTCCAGCAGCACTGCATCCGCACTGTGACTTCATGTAGGCCTCATCCAGGCCTAGGGCAGTTTAGCCAGGATTTTCGCCTATTTGGGTAGAGGAAACTCATAAAGAATGGATCAGACTTTTATGGCCACACCGCAGGTGTGTACATGTGAGGTTAGTTTGTCCATCTCACGCCTACCTCAGCTGCTCCACTACTGTCTGGATAGGAGACGGATCTGGGGTGGGGGGAGTGGTGTTGTTAGGCCTTCAGGGTAATGCTCCCTGATCCGGAACAAAACATTAGCTCACATTAGCTCATCTCCTGTGGTCTGCTATCAGGCCGGGAGACGGGGACCGTCGGAAAACTTTGCGAAGTGTGAATGGGCCCTGTGGGTCCCCCAAACCTCTCCATTCCGGTCACACGCCCCAGTGTTCAGCCAATCACATTTGTATAAATCTGTTCCCATCAGCCACGATGCTACTGCACCACCTCATCCAGCAGATTCTCCAGAACAACAGGCTGCATGGTGGTCGGCTGGATCCATGGGTTCAAATTCAAAAAATTGCCATGAGTAACAACCTAATTTGAATGGCTTCCAAAAAAACCTATAAGCTGTGCAAGTAGCTTTTGATAAAACCTCCTAACACCTACATATAATCCTAGAGTAAATGCCCTTTATTACAATCCTGTGCTCCAGAGTGGTGCAAAGACCTTCCTCCTTGTGTTGACTGTAGCCCAATAGACCACAGGTAGAAACCTCTCCCAAGCCCTGATGACCCACAGAGAGAAGAGAGCAGTCAATGTTCCACTCAAGCGATTAAATGCTCAAGTTTAAAATCATCCTAGTCAAATAGGTAACCTTCATGAATCAGAGTGGTTTGCGGGGGCAGAGTTAGGGAGAATGGAGAGGGCTAAATAAATATTATTTATAAGTCACTCATGTAGGACAGTAAGAAAACAGGGCATGTGTGACCCTCTACACAACGTCAGCTTAAAGCAGGGAGCTTTAAAGTGCCCTGGTCATGCCTCCCTACAGCACACACATCAGGGGCGGAAACCCTGACCATTATGTGTTTTCGTAACTTCAGCAGCCAGGAATGTGCGGTTGCGTCAGAGGGCTCCCCGACCCCCATGCAAGTCCGGGTGCAATGGTCCCTGTCCATTTAAAGAGGCGTTAATGACGAATGGAGCATATAATGGACAGAAGTGACCTGCTGCTGTGGAGACTGACTCATCACTCAGCTCAGCCAATAAAATAAACTATGAGGAGGGGCTACCTGTCACCACAGAGTCGTACCCTGGGAGACAACACAGGACAGTCATAGTATGGGTTAGGCTGAATAGCTTGAATGTAAGTAATGCATTTTTATTGTTAGCATAAGGGTGTTTACCCTGGACATTACCCTGTCCTAGTTTACGGAGACCCTGGATCCACTGACAGCTAGAAAAACCATAAAGCGACATTGTTTCATCACACCTCTGAAGTTGGAGGTTTGCATCCTGTGTGTGTGGAGTTTGCATGTTCTACCCCTGTCATGTAGGTTTTGCACAGTCTATAACCATGCAGTTAGGCTGTGTATGTGCCCTGTGATGGACGGGCAACTGGTTAATTATAACCCAGGCAGAAGACAGGACATTTTAAAGGAATGCTGTAAATATGGTCACCATGGACTTGATAGCATATAAGAAGAATAATTAATGCAGATCATACCCATGTTCACTGTACCCTCCTAATTTCATGGTTCTGTGTTTGATTCTTGGTCCTGGTTTTGTGAATGTGGGTGTTTTCTCCGTGTCTGAGGGGGTTTTCTTCCACAATGTGGATTTTACAGTTCACCTCTAATATTGCAGTATACATCAATTAAATATTTCATGCACTTTCACATCTACATACAGACAAAATCCTGCAGCTTTAAGAGCGAATCTCCTGAACTCCCCTTCCGGGATTCTTCAACCAATCATTTACGTTCTACAGATGAAGGTAACGGACGCAACATAGACTGACTTAATAGATTCCAGAGTACAACGATCAATACCGTGTCCGCAAATACTAACGTGGATTGATATGAACTACTTTTGTCTGTAGAGGATTGTTGATTTTACTTGTGTGTACTGCGCTAAGGAAAATAACGCAATGTCCGAATAGATACTGAAGAAGTCTAAAATTACCGGGGGACGCGCAGTGTAAGCACTTTTGGTGATCGTCGGACTCGCAGTTCAGTATTTAATTTACTTTGGGGTTCAGTAATCCTTTACAGCACGGTTGACGGTGGAGATCCGGTGCTCCACGGCATCTTCGCACGGAGGCCTTCCAGAGACGCTGGAGACGGCTCTCCGTGCCGGGGATCTCAGCTGATCGTCATCTGCTCGTTTATATTTTAAATCCGCGACCATGGATACAGACAAGTTTAACTACGTCTACAGCTGTGACATGGATATAAATGTGCAGCTTAAAATGTAAGTCCGCCGTTTTGACAGCACGGCTTTGACAGCACAGCTTAGTCAAGTACGTCGCTTGGTCCGATGAACGGGTCTTTAGAGTTTATAAATGAGCAGGTTGGCTGTGTAAATGTATTTGTGACTGACTGTAACTATCTATAGTTTTTCTGGGTCATGCAAATGGTTCTTTAACAGAAAGATTATATATATATATATATATATATATATATATATATATATATATATATATATATATATATATATATATATATATATAACATATTCAGCGCATTAATAGTAATCGGTCATGAGATCGGCATCTCGGTGCCTTTCTGTCTCTTGTTAAATGTCCCATTCATAAGCAACGGCATTCATATTAAACTGTATTTAATTGAAGTATCGCTTCCACTGGGGGAATTCCATATCCATAGGAGAAAATGCTCTGTTCGTGATCTTTTAAAAAAAAAAAAAAAAAATACACTTGTGGGTCTTTTGACTGTTCCTCATTCTCTGTGTGCTAATGACTGGTTTTGTAAAGCGTGTGTGTGTGCAGGACTTGCAAAGTTGTTCACAATGTAAGCGCAGATTGGTTACGCTGCTATTTCGGGCATCACTAACGGCATTGATGGCTGCATTACACTTCTGGTGATTTCCCTTAACAACGTTAATTCCGTTTTCATGTTGACTGTAACCACTGTTGCTGAGTTACTTGACTTGGTTTGTGGAGCAGTACCATTTTTAGACCAAGTTTCACAAAGCTCCTTCCTGAAAAGCCTCTAAGTGTACGTTGTCCATTTTAATAGGTACATCCATCCAATCACTTGATTGTGGCAGTTTAACATGTAGTTTGGGTTGTGGAAGATGACCAGACAGCCTGGCAAAACCTGCATGATTGCAGGGGATACTGCAAACACCACACAGTCAGAGCTGGGACCGGAGTCAGATTTTAAACCTCAGAATAGCGAGGCATCTTACTGTCATTTTGAGCTTCTGGGTTTGAAGGTGCAACTACTTCAGGCACTGAGTCTCTGTGATGTAAATTGTTAGCCAAGAGTTTTGTGGGCAGAGACCATCTGTCAGCATTTAAGGGGACACCTAGGTCTCAGAAGGAGGATGATGATGACGACGACGACAATGATGATGATGATGATGATTATGACCTCGTTCCTGACAGCGGCAGCCTGGAAGGTAAACGGGAGCAGAAGAGCTACAAGGCCCTCCTTCAGGATCCCATGCTGCGGTTCTCGGGGCTTTACCAGGAGACCTGCTCCGACCTCTATGTCACGTGTCAGGTGTTCGCTGAGGGCAAGCCCTTGGCACTTCCTGTGCGCACCTCCTACAAAGCCTTCAGCACGCGCTGGAAGTGAGTATGGACCAGAGACCTGTTCATTGGGCAGGCCTTCTGAAGCAGCCAATCAGAGTCAGTCAGGATGTGATAAAGGATACTGAGCTTTCATTGGCAATAAGATGTCGGTGACATGAATCATTGGTCTTGCACCTTGTGGGCGTTACGATTCTGAGCCTTGTTTATGTTGCATTTTGGGGAGCTGTTGTTTTCTATATCCATGTTAAGTGATGTGTTCTGTGTGTCGGATAGTAACACCACTTGTCCTGAATATGGTTAAATACTAGTTTCCGCCTGTTGTCCTCCAGTTGGAATGAGTGGTTGAGGCTCCCAGTTAAGTACCCGGACCTGCCCCAGAGCGCTCAGGTGGCACTCACCATCTGGGACGTGTACGGGCCCGGCCAGGCCACACCCGTGGGCGGGACCACCGTCTCTCTCTTTGGGAAGTACGGGTAGGAGTCTGCAGCTTCGCCGTTCACACTGTGATGCGGGGGTTTAACCCTCGTGTATATGGGACTTTGAGGAGTCACTACACACTTTGGGTCCGAACTATATATTCAAATATATACTATATTTGAATTTTGGTGATCAGTGATCATTGTTGACACAGCACAGCACACAGTTCTCAACAACAAAATGTGTTCTCTGTATTTAACCCATATGTGACATCATGACATAGCAGGGGGCAGCTAATTCAGCACCCGGGGAGCAGTGCTTGGGGGCGGTACCTTGCTCAGGGTACCTCAGTGGTGCCTTGCTGGTTGGGGATTCGAACCAGCAATCTCTCAATTACAAGTGCACTTCCCAACCATTGGGCCACCACTGTAAATCAAGCTGCAATAACTGTAACTGTACAAACTTTTATTGATTATCTCTTCCCTGAACAAACTGAACTTTTTCCGTTTGTTTAAAAATTATTTTATCGGAAACTACATTCAGCAGCTATTTTAATTCTAAGGAAAAAATGCTTGGAAAGTTAACATTATAAGAATATAAAATATATCCCATTTTAAGTAATTATAATTTAATTTTTTTTTTATAATTTAAATAACGTACAAATAATAATTTTGTATAATATTTCTTAATGGCTGATAGACAAAATATGCTTTCCTGTTTATGTATGTGTATTAGGGCTGGTTCATACTTCTCCGTACAAGTGCAGCACTCACACATCCGCTCTGCGTTTGCGTACACGGGAACGTTCATAGTCAAGACATGTACTTTGCACATGCGAACAAAGTGTTCTATTTATATTTTTATTAATATAAATTATTATTCTGATATTCCCTGCACACATACCACAGCAGTAATGTTTATGTCAGTTTCATATTTTACAAATTCAGAGAAGAACTTCTTTACACAGCATGTAGAGTATGGAATAGTCTTCCTGCTAGTGTAGCGGAAGCTAAAACCCTGGGTTCCTTTAAATCAGAGCTAGATAAGTTTTTAACAACTCTGAGTTGTTAAACTCTGAGTCTCCCCAAACGAGCTTGATGGGCCGAATGGCCTCCTCTCGTTTGTAAATTTCTTATGTTCTTATGTAACCAGCTCACAGGGTTGCCAACTTTGGTCAGCTGGCTGGCGTGAGATTTTCAATTTGAGACAAGTTTACACACACATGCACATTTACATTTATGTAACAGTTTACTTTTGTAAATAGTTTGTAGGGTTTTAAAACTACCCCAATGCTCGTCAAAAGCATCCATGTTGGTATTTAAAGTGGATGCCAGCGAATGGATTATGTGCAGTGTGTCAGAGCTGTGCATACGCTGCTCTGCAGACAGAAATTTGGAGTGCAGCAGGCGTTCGTCTACGGAGGCGACCAATGACCTCAAACTCATCATAAAGATTTGAGCAGACACGTGGAGAACAGTATGAACCAGCCTTGAGTGTTTGTACCTCCGCATGGGTCCAGTGATCAAATATATGGATGTTCTTTTTCCACAAAATAAGCTACATTGGGCAAAGATTGCAAAAACCACCACTAGATAATGCCCCAATTACACTCTGCAGTTTAGGGACAAAATGACAGTGGAGGTAATATGGGTGGAAAAAAGAGGTCAATAGGGGCAATCTTTGAATGTTTTTACTTTATTTCAGTGAAGTAACTGAATAATTCTGAAGGAGATGACATAATGGGAAGAAATACATTTTTGTTCAAGCACTGTTTACAAAATACAGACACTTCACTGGGTCGTTAGCGACCTGCTATGTTTTTGGCAAACAAATGACCACACAACATTCATTTTAAGCTATTTTGACATGAATTTGGTAGTAAATTGTTGCGATTTCGAAAGTGTGTTCCATTCCCTAGGAACAGCGTCCACACTGAATCATGTGACCCCAGGAGAGCTGTAAACTGGCATCCGGAGGCTTGTACACAAAGGGTTAAAATGCACAGTAGCTCTGGACCCTGAGCTCCTCAAGCCCTAGCATTCGCCTTCTCTAACATGCATGTTCTCTCCACTCCCGTCCCAAAAACACCCAGGATGTTCCGGCAGGGGATGCATGACCTGAAGGTATGGCCGTGCGTGGAGGGGGACGGCAGCGAGGCCACCACCACCCCAGGGCGTACCAGCAGCAGCCTGGAGGACCAGATGGGCCGCCTGGCCAAGGTAGGGGCCAGCCACGCTATTAAACTGCTCAGAACTGTGTCAGCAGTGTCACCTATGCCCACATCTCGGAACCCTTTGAAGAGAAGAACAAAGCCAGGACAACCTCCCCCCCCCCACCAAAAATATCGAGCTGTGTGTCAGTTTAAAGCCCGACGTGTCAGTGGCGTGTTCACTGCACCGTCACGCATCGAGGTTTAAATGAGTGTCTGTTCCAGGGCCCAGACCTGGAGGTACTCGGTGATGTGAGTATGCGGCGTGTGCGTGTGTGTGCGTGTGTGTGTGCGCGTCTGTCCACGATCGCATCGTGAGAACAGTGGGAATGCTGCCGTTCTCCAGCCGCACACGTCCGCATTGCGCGTGAACACACCCTTGCTGTTGAACGGTACAGCCTGCATCACGGATCACTTTACCGGATTACCGGTGTGAACATTAACCGCGCAGTGTGGGACTAACCGGATGGCTATGCGC